CGAAGACTGAAATTACATCACACGCTAGTTCATATTTGGTCAAAATGATATTACATTGTATAGTTTGACGTTTTAATGATAGTCATGTGACGTCACATGGTAGTGAAACGCCATAATGTCCGTAGAAACGTTTTCGCGGTAACTTGAAAATAGTTTTTTTTTTACTGAAATACACAACGTATGATGAATTGAATATCCACTTTTAAAGGACTACATAAATATTCCTATAAGCCAAAAAATGAGGTTATGTGCTGTCAGTGCACGAGCCCACGCCACGTCTCGTGTACTATTTTCAAATATGTATTTCTACTGGTAACGAAACGATATGTGTATCGTCATGGTATTTTGTCGGAAGATTTTGTTATTTGTCGGGAGTCCGGAGATCGAATAAAAGTCGGAATAATCCAGGCGATTTCCGACCATCTGGCAACCCTAGAAACATGCGAAGATCTTCTAGATGACAGGGGGACATTCGCCTAACTGAACTGCTTTGGAAAACGCTAACGCTTACGATTTTATTTTGTTATGTCTAGCCCGCCTGAGGTTTTCAAATGCCTCGCACTCTTTTTTTTCTTTTGCATTGGTAACAACAATATTAAAAATGAGTGTGAGGTATTTGAAAACCTTCGGCGGTCAGAAATAACAAAATAAAATCGAAAGAGTTAGCGTTTTCTAAAGCATTTCCGTTAGACGAATGGCCCCCAGGTTCGAGCCACAAAATCACAGTCACACTGCTGTTAGCTAGTCTTCCTCCCACTTTAGCGCAAATCTTGATTATTTACTTATGCACACATAGCCTTTGACAAAGAACAAAAAATAACTAGGATTTTTTTTATATATCCTTGCTATTCTTCTCACATAATCTAAACCTCTATCTGACAATCGGATTCGTTTCTGTTAGTATTTTATTATTTTATATTATATTATATATATTATATGCCCCACCTGATGATAAGCGGCCACCATAGCCTATAGTGTAGACGTTTGCGATACCAACAATATCATTCGTGCCATTACTTGCCCTGACCAATTCCCCTACCCCGTGGAGCCTAGCAACCTTACCCACCGACAGAAACTCAACACCACCAAAAAGTAGTGTCATTTTAATGTGGTCTTCTGTAAGGTGGCGGTTACTTCCGCAGACGGGTGCTCCAAATCGAGCGAAGAGGCCGCTATGATCTCTTGAATCTGCAGTGATATACAGTTTTGCAGTCATTTTAAGGACTAGGTTCGATTGGCGTCCACAAAATCTCAGCGTTTTCAATGGAGCGAGACGATATTTTACCCCAGGACAAAGACCGCTTTTATATGAAGGACAAATTGGGCTCCATATTGTTTTCATATTTTTTGGGCTACAACACCAGCCAGGTTACCAGTACCTCGAGATGCGGCTCGAGGGCCCTAGGTTTGATTACTGGGGGACTACCGACTAATTATATTGATCTGAACAAATAGATCATATTGTTTTCTCAAAGATGGTCGACTTATGAGCGGTAGAGCATAAACGGATTTATTCACGTCTGGACCACGTTACAGAAGACTAAGTAAAATTGTATGGTAAATTGTATGGTTCGCCGAAATGTCTCCCTATTTTTACTCTAACCGTATTTCTTCAGTTGATTTCCATGAAACCATTTCTTAAAATTTAATTCCAACCAGGGTTTTATTTATTGCGTAACTATTTCATTGCACGTGAGTATATTTCTAACCTTTTAATACGTTTCTGCTTTAATATGACAATTGCTAATTTTATTGTTGTTCTATGCCAGCAACGGACTTCTACTGAATGTCAAATTCAAAGTTACCGAATCATCCATGATATGTTGCGTGTTCACTTGTGAGTTACTGATTATATAATAGCACAAGAAGTCATTGTCCACAATTTTATAGTAAGTGAAGGTTCCACTTACTGCCTAATTGCCATTTAATTGATATTTAAAATAATCTAATAGTAAATTATAATGAAAATGCAAGAAAATGTTATCATCATTTAACATTGTCAGATTGCAGATAATTTTTGTCTGCCATAAGTATAAGTTGTAATGGCCCATGCGGATTCCAGGTTATTGTTATGTGTTGATAAACATTTGGTAGATAAATTTTAAAGATGCATCTCAGTCTCAAGTCGTTTACTTGCTAAGTGTAATTTTTTGCGTCACAAAGGACCGCTAACTATTAAATACGAATATTTAACACTTTTTTATATGCATAAAATTTTACTCGTTTGAAAAATTCGATGAGTTGGCAATACAGAAAATCATTTTCTTTTTGTAAACTACTCGAAGCATTAATTAGTTTTGTCATATTATGATTTTGATGCTAGCGAGAATATTGTGGCAAAATGAATTCAAAATGGACGCTGAATCGAGACCTAACCCAATATCTTGGCCCAGTTGATTTGGTTTAATAGAAAAAGCAAAATAATTACGTTAACGAATATAGTACTAGTTGCCGCAAACGGGGGCGTCGCCAAATTCACTAACTAGGTACAAAAAAAATCTCAGAAAAACATAACCAGCTTAACTATCTAGCTGCAGATACATACATATAAAATTAGTGGAGTACTTTTGTAAACTATAGTGATAGCACAGAACAGAGAAAGAATTTGACTTGTGAGAGATAGTATAGTAACCAATCCATTTGATGTAACAAGTTTAGAGTATAATGGGACTGGCACAAACTGGAAAGACAGGGAATTAAGAACTTTATCCACGTGATAGTTAGGTGTTACAAATTACAGTTTAATTAATAATTATTTTACAAGTATTCATCCTGTGGCTACTTTTAAATCGTGAATAACAAGCAGTACAACTGCTATGGTATGACAATTGACAGCTGAAGCATATCAATCAAAATCACACTGCTGATATTTAGTCTTCTTCCCACTTTAGCGTGAATTGTGGTTGTTTTCATCTTTTGACCAAATTTTCGGTACAGTTATGTTGACGAATCCATAGCCTTTGACAAAGAACAAAAGAACTGCTATGGTATGACAATTGACAGCTGGAGCATATTAACATTTGATTATCATATTAATGCCACTGGATTGCAGGTGACTAGTCAGATAGAATGCACCTGGTGTAGTTTTAAAGAAATAAAAAACGTTTGGAAATATAAATGGCATGTGACCACGTCACATCTCGTTTAAATGTTTTACTTCATGGGTTTAAAGATACTAATTAGTGAATACCTCTTACGTAATCCATTACTAATCATACTAGTAAAGAGTTTGTTTTTTATAGGACTCTGTACTACCTTAAAAGAAAAAAAAAATGGAATCGTTAAATGATTACTTTTTCATGGCCGCCCGTCCATCTGCCAGGACCCTTTTTCTCAAGAACCTGTGGAGATATTACACGAATTAAATTTTTAAAAAATCAATAAAATATTAACAGCCTTAGTTAGGACTTTGGTACAAATGCTCGTATTTATCATACAAATATTTGTCCCACCTGGATCAGATTACAGGACCTCCTTAGAGCATCAACTGGACCTCTGTGTAAGAGACACTTTCAAGGCCGAGTGTACCTACATAGTAGTCACCATGGAGGTAATAGTCTACTCAGATCTTTAATCCTTTGGGGTAGCTAGTGCAAATAATCAAGAGCACTCGTATGCAGTTGACGACAATTTTGTGCCGCCTAATGCATATTCTGAAGTTCGCAAGGGTGTTATAACCTCAAAACGTTACATCCCGTTGACCTATTAGGATTTTTGGCTTCTACCAATAATACAAGTAAAGGCATAATTAAAAAACTGTAAATAATTTATTTATTTACAAACTTGTAGAGTCCTGCGGTTTCACACGCAATTATTTGAGTAAAAAGTTTATATTATGTCACCCATAAAAGATAGACATAATATGCTGTTGATAGGGTTGCCAACAATACTATAATATAGTATTGTACTATATTTCGGGTCTGCGAACTATATATTGTTGAAGAAACACATAGTACGCAAAAATACTATATTTTCAAAGCCGAAATGTAACAAAAAAAATGATAAATGTATGATCGTGCCTTTTCCTTATCTTTTGACTTGTTCAATAGCGTATCCGAACGTGTACAAAGTAACAAAGTCAAATTGACAGTGAAACCTGGGTTGCGTTCAGAACCTGCGTAGCAAATGTCAAAATTGACATAACTTTCACACATTATATGTAAAAATTTAAACGTTGAGAGTCAAAAGTTGCACTCAGAGCGTAGGTTCTGAACGCAACCGCACCTTTTAGCAATAATGAGAAGAATTATTTCCAGTTTACCTATTGTTATTTATATTGAAAAGTCCTAATAAACTAGCACTGGGAAGAATAAACTACCACTAAAAAAGTACCTAATTATTTTTTGAGATTTCCGTGTAATGCGATTTTTTTATAGGTTCATCTGCAAAATACTTTATTTCGCTGAAGAAATGTTAGCAACCCTAGCTCTTGCTGTCGCGGTTTTTTTTTGTAGAACTTCTAAAGACAATTTTTAAAGGGCAACAATTCCGTCAGACACTATTTTTGTTATTCAGGTTCAGCGATAAGCGATTCTTTAAAAATAACTATACATAAATACTAGTGCAACACAATCGATCGATACCATATCGATATATTTGTTTCTTAGGTTTTCACGCGCATCACTCATTAAATAAAACAATTTTTACGGGTTGTATGCACTGAATTTATTTATTCGACGTTTCGCAGCCTTTGCAGGACTGCCTCTTCAGAAATAATGATTTTTTATTTACTTTGTCGAGCTATCTTCGAAAGACTTATTGAGCGTTAGGATATTTCATTGGAAGATTTTTAAAACTTTATTGTCTATGCTTGAATTTATTAGCTAATTTAATTAATAAACTAATTTATTTAATTCTTTTTTATATTTTTGAGTTTATTTATTTGACCCTAACTACCGTAAACTACCACCGGTTCCAACATTGGGAGACCATTCTAAGAAGAACCAGCGAAACAAACCCAGAGAGGCTTTCTATCTCCCTCTTGTGTTAAATTATGCAAACAAAAAGATAATATCTATTGGTCTTGCAGTGTGTGCTCGGGGTTGGGATATTGTCTGTTGTATAATGGGTTCCCAAGCTGGTGGTATATACCAACCATCTTCCTTATTGAAATTTGGATATTTCTTAATCTCAATAGCTTCGCGTATCATTCTAGGAATGAACCGTTCTACAGTTGCGAGGACCTGTGGTTTATGAAATCTAATGTAATGGTTTGGTCCCCCTTATGCATGTTGACATACTGCAGACTTATTTTCGCGCCTATGTCTCATATCTGCGATATGTTCTTTAACCCGAGTCGCTATACTCCTCTTTGTTTTCCGATGTAGGAGAGCTCACAGTCGCATACAAGTTTATAGACACCAGCAACTTGAAAGGGTATATTGACAGGTCGCAGAAACTGGTTGATCTTTTTTGGCGGCTTGAAGTATGTGTTGATCGAAGCACGCTTCAGAATCCTCCTAACCTTGTCAGTGACTCCTTTATGGTTAATCCTCATTTAATTAAAACGATCTCTTTTACGCGGGTCTCATTACTGACATATTCCCGATACTTTTAACACAGAATGTATATATTTCTCCGGAATATAGTATTTGATCCTCCAACATAGTACGATACTATATTAAATAGTAGGGTTGGTAACCCTAGTCAGTACATGCCATTCATTCTTACAGAATTTTGTAAACGACACAAGTTTTCGTATAGGCATATAAATATCAAAGTCACATTGTAAACATTAAAGGGACAACTGCGTTTTGAGATTTCTTAATTTGGAAAAGAGACGGCCATATTTGTTGAACAACGCCACAAAAGAAGTATTTCTTAAGGTACGAGTATTTGCAATTGAAGTGGCGCGGAGTTCCATATTGTTCTATTTGATTCGTTACGTATTCAACTATCGTGAGCTTTGAGGCTGATGCTTCGGTTGTTGGTCGTGTTCCCGCCCATTTCGGCGAGTTAGTGGTGCGCATGCGTGCGCTAAGCCTTTTCCAGTTTCCCGTACTAAGCCGGTGTTGCATCGTCTCGCCAAACCAACTGCCAAGCACTCGTCTGGTAGACAAGGCAACAGCGTGAGTCTTTGTTATTGCGCAACTTACGCATTATTAACGTCACTGAAGAAAGTCCTACTAGCTGGCGCTTATCTTGGTATAGGGTGTTATCCTAATCATGTTACAAAACAATAATGACATGCATTGACTTGATTACTATTAATTATTATTATTATTTGATCATTTGTTTTTACCAGTAAACATACGTACATGATATAAAGAAACAGAATCCCCAAAAGGTACATAAATACAAAATTATTAAACAATTGTATTTTTTTCTTAAACTTTCATAGTCACTATAAATTATTGTAATTTAATATGTTATTTACAAGCATTGCAAGCGTTCCATGATTACTCTGATATCATGGCGCTTACAACAGTGCCGAAATATCGTAAACTCGCTCAAAACAAGTTATATGGTAAAAATCCCGTAAATAACATTAATTATTATAATCTTTGCATTTCATCTTAACATTTGGTTCAATGCTAATAATTTAATTTTATTCGGTATTATTTTCACAGAAAAATCTGCTTTGTATTCAGCCAGCCCATGAAAATAATCTCTATACTTATACAAAAAACAACGTAAGGGGTCGACATTATTTATATTATTTATTATTACAAGTTGTTTTTCTTGTAGTGAGGGTATAAAAAAGGTTTTAAACAACATTTTTCTGTGAGCGCAAGTGCTCATGAAAAAACCTCCAGAAGCCATTAGAAAATTTAGTAATCAGTATCGTGTTTTGTATAAATCTCAACATTACTCATTTCCTTATTAGGAACTAGCGGCCGCCCACGCCTTCGTCCGCGTAACTTTAGTTCTTTGAAAACCACTCAGGAATCTAACACTTTTCCGGGATAAAAGTATCTCTTGTTTCCATTCAGTTTATAAGTCGTCTTTGTGTGTATTTTACACATTCTTAACCGTTATTGCGTGATTGAGTAACAAACATAAAAAGTTTTCACATTTATACTATTAGTAGGATAGAATTGCACCCATATTCCGTGGCGGATCGCTAGTTACCTATAATACCAAAACAGTTGTTTCCTTAACCTTGATGAATAAAGGGACTCTTCAAAACAAGTTGGTTTGTTTAACTCTCTGCTCAAGCTTTCGGAATTAAATGAAAATATTGACTACACTTAGTGCGAGACTTTTCCCGTTTGCAGTCGATTCCCACATGTCCCTACTATCGACATCGATTTTATCGAAACTTGAAGTTCTTCATATAAAAGGCGTCCGCCTCGTTCTGTGTACCTTCGCAGAGTGCTGCCGAACCAAACACCGGTAATTTCTCTATCGTAAAGTTGAACTACTGCGCATGCCCAATGTTTTTTCAAACGGGAAGCAAATTTCCGGACATTTCTTGCCATGAAAATGATAATTTTCAGTGTTTTATTTCTACGTCTAGGTGTAGTACTTTATTTTGTTATTTGGCTGACTCTTTGAAATAAAATCTCTTGATTACTATTATCTCTCAGATCAAATACCACTTTGTCAGAGTTAGTTGTCTTTCTAAAATGATAAAATACATATTTGATTTTTAATAATTAATTTCTGTTTTATTAGTTTTCGATGCAGCTTAAAGGTTAGCATCCACCAGGCTAACCTTTATATTTCAGCTTGAGTCAATTTCAAACTAGATGACAAGAAATATTCTGCTTATAAATATTTAATCTAATTCTTTTCATTGATGATGGATCATATATGATTATGAAAAAATAATATAATCATATTCATACATTATAGAACGAGATTGAGCCCGCTTCCGCTTTTCTTCGCGATGTGGCCATCGATCTATTCGGAACTTGTTGAACTCAGCGTGCAAAGCGTCTGCTCTATGTTCTCGACTACGGCGGAGTGCCGATGTTTGCCGAATACGAATACATACAAGCGAACTCCTAATGCGAAGGTTGGACACTCTGCGCATGTCTAGCTAGCTTTACGTGGAGGGGGGGTAACTGCAATCCAAACATAACAAAGACCGTTTTCTGGGGATCGTTTATTAGACGCTTATTAATATTACAGTTTAGCATTTTTTTTTCTGAAGGCATATAACGAAAATTAATGGGTTAAGATCACCATTATGAACCACTGGACTGCTCTTCCAACGAAGTGAACGATGTGCATTCATTTTTCTTTCGGATGTGTAACAAAGTACATAGTACTTAAATCTAATATGATAATTTCGACTGGTTTGAGGCTTTCAAATTATGTCTTTGTTTGTGATCTTACAAAAACTAAATTAAATAAGCATTTTGCTTGTCTATTACTAGCGGCCGCCCGCGACTTTGGCCGCGTGAACTAACGCGTTTAGTTTTTTAAGTATTCCCCAGGAACCTATTTATTAGCCATAAAAAGTATCACATGTCGCAATCCTGATAATAAATGATATGTGTGGGTTTATTGGTTTAATACTAAAAACATACTTATCGTTTTTTTTAGTTTAACATATTTATTTATTAATTTAACCTCCTTAGGGTTACCAAATAAATAGGAATATGGCAGGGCAATCATGGTCTTGCATAAAACTTCGTAAAGGACCTAATCAAAACCAATAAATACCATTAGGAAAACCAAAAATTAGATGAATAATAAAAAAATAATAAATTTCTTCAAAGAAGTATTATTATGTATTATTAATTGATAAGAACGTTTATATTCGCATAACGTTGCAAATTATAAGTTATTTCATTCATGTTGCTGCTGGCAGGTAATAGGATCTTTTTATATTGGTTATCAAAGAAGGTCAGTAAAAAATTGCTTCGGTTTTCTATTTTTGGTCACTCTTGTTTCAGCTAAATAACAAAGAATAAAGCATTAATTTATAAAAGATTAGGTGTTGTGTTAACGTAATTTATTTATGCTATCCACGTATTTGCAGTTTGCACACAATCAAAAGCTATCATAGAACTACTCTTTATGGTAACTAATTATATGAGAATTGAAAGCAGAAGAAAAGAAAGAAAAAGATTATTTTGATTCAAGAGTGCGCTTCGTTCTTTTCTCTTCTCTTCTATTTAAAGGAATTTCAATAACAGAACCGATAAGTCTGATCCTAATAATTTATCCTATATTTTGATGTGCAAGTCCAAGGGAGATATTGTGCAGCATAAAAATCGCAAGCTTTCTATTTGATTTTTTGCGTTATTTTTGCGTCAGTGTGTGCAAAACCTTACGCTAAGACGAACGTAAATGTTTGAGTCGCCTGAATTTTGATCGCTAACCATAGAGCAACCCGGCTGACGCGGCAGGAGGGAAGTAGGCATACACAGCAGCAAAGAAAAGCCAAAATGTTCTGTAATTTGCTCTCCCTGCTGTCAGTCGTGTTAGCGTCAAAGAGAAACACGGTCATCAATATAGGACAGTGTCCTATTTGACGTTCGCGTGATGTAGTTTAATTTGTATGAACAAAGTTCGCGTCAATCATCGAATATCGCCAATTCACCTCCTATTATAACTACGGCTAACACCTCCTTCCCCTTGTTATTTATTTATATTACATCAATGAATCCAGTGGAGAATTAAAACTTTTATGCGCCTTAATTATTAAAACTTTTTTCGCAGAGTTCCCACCAGCAACTTCACAGTGAACGATGTGCGCATGTGCGTCGGCTCGCGGCGACTCCTCGACGTGATGGACGTTAACACCCAGAAGAACATCGAGATGACTATGAAGGTAACGTCTCTATTCTATACTCACGGTTTCAGAAATGGAGACGCTACGGGCATGCCCGCAAAACATATTTTAAAGAGGTTTTTTTCTTTATTAGTTATATTTTTTTTTCATTTCTATGCTTCGTCTCATCGTCAGCAAAGACTTTTTAAAAGTATTTATCACCCTATACTCATTTTGGCAATATTCGGGGTTTACATATTAACGTGAAATTATCTTATTTCAAACATGGGTATGTTTGAAGGTGTGTATACACTAGAGCATATTTTTTCGAGCATTTCTATGTATTGTAACCTTTTTTCGAATGGCAATATAGGTAAAAGCTCAGTTTCCAGTGATTTGGTTCCTGAAAGGGATATACACAAGATACATAGATACATATCCTAGAGTGGCTCGTTTTTCTGTTAAGTACAAGTGAATGCCCAAGTACTACTATACTCACCATGATTAGAAACAGAAGTTACCCGTGTTTGGTAGTAATTAATTAAGTCCATATTTAGAGCATTTCTAATTTTGTATACAGAATTGATTCGAGAATAAAGTGTCTCACAGACAGAAGCGGCCCGCGGCCGCGGCTGGGGTGGCAGCCAGTTGTATTCGCTTGCAATATAAGCGAGTGTTCAAATACGAGCGACCAATAAGGACAGGACGCGGTCGCAAGCCGCTTCTGTCTGTGAGACACTTAAAAAAAGACAGGTTTTGTTTTGTAGAACAAAAAGAAGACAGATGTGAATTAGAATATTTGAACTTTATCTTTTAATTATTTGGCACTGAACGCAGGGTAAAAATTATTACCATATCCGATGGATGCAGGTAGTTTTGTACAGGTTATTTTTAAAAGCCTTTAGTATAAGTACCTAAGGGCGCGTACACATAGAACGTCCGTTTTAGAGGATCCTTTTTAATGGATCCGACACTACTAGATATAATATTCACAGTGGCGTCGCGGATCAGTATTTCCGTTGTTTGTTGGATATTTACTGGATCCGGAATATTGTTATGTGTGTGAACTAGCTCTACATACACCAAATAATGTATACGTTAATACGGACCAGTAAAACGGACTGTTGCATATTTTGTCGTATTGGTATATTTGCTGAATCCGGAAAACTGTATTGTGTGTGAACTTGCTCATACAACAACTACATACGCCATCAAATAATGGTCCTGTAAAAGGGATTGCTATGCGTACGCGTCCTAACGTGCATTACAAAAGAAAAGGTAGGGCTTTTTTATCTACATATCAACGTTATATTTTATTTTAGACACACCATTTAAATTACTATCTGTGTTTGCGGGGGATATTTTATTGTCGACACACTTTTCGGTTGTATTAGCTATTTATATAACATTCGGTTGAGTAAGGTAACTCGCTGCGTCCTGAATAATCAATCTACTTCGGTTTAAAAGACGCATTATATCGATAATTTTTCATGAATATTCACTAATATTCATGAAAAATTATCGATGCATCACTATGCAGCGAAGAAAATTGACGCCATTATAAGTAATTCTAGTACACTTACCAAGTTATTTAGATTCACCTATGCCCTCTACGAGTTAAAGAAAAGTACAGATTTAATATCAGCAAAAAGCGCTTATTATGCTTACGCAAACTCATGGCTAAGTTACGGAATTATCTTATGGGGTAATAGTACCGACATAAATAAACTGTTTGTTTTACAAAAGCGATGTATACGTATGTTGGTGAATATAACAGACATGGAAAGCTGTAGACCACATTTCATAAAACTTAAGATACTTACTCTTACATGTATATATATATATTTGAAATTAGTAAAATGGTGCGCAAAAATAGACATTTATATAAAAATTTTAGTGATACATATTTTAAAACACGTAATTTAAGAAATAGAAATAAATTGGCAATACCGTTTACTAAATTACGTCTGGTAAGCTCAGGAACATACCATATATCTGTTAAAATATATAATAAAATACCGAATCATATAAAAAACATTGAAAAAGATTGTACATTTAATAATAATTTATAACAATTTCTTATAGATAAGTGCTTTTATGATTTAAAAGAGTTCTTAAATGATAAATTTTAATGATACCAAATAATCTATATTCTTTTTTGTGTGTGTATGACATTATAAATTTTGTATATGACGTTATAACTAATGATGTTAGACTAATTGATTTGATTTTCTGACGTAAATATGTTGACCTAAACCGAAATTATTAAACTAATTATAATAAATATTATGTGAATGAATTTTGAATGGATTATTACTTTGAATGTTATTGTTACTTGTTTATTTATTTTGTGTTTTGACATAAATTTCTTGACCTAACCCTAAATGAATTTTATAATTGCTAAAAGTATTACATGAATTAATTTTAAAGTTATATTTCTTTTTTTATTAACTAATAACTATTGTAACTTTATCAAATTTTAAATTAATCTTTGTATACTTTAATTATAATTTGCAATGCCCTTGCAGGGCTCATGTTTGCGAGCTGTTATTAAATTTAAGAACTAAATGTAACCAACATGAAGCAATAAATATTATGACTATGACTATGAAATCCCACTTGTTCAGCAAAGGAACTTATCAGTCAGCAGTTATGAAGTGTGCGTATTTAATATTCGCCGTTAATTGTTTTTTAAATAAATGAACCTGAAACTCTCTTTTGCCATACAATATAATATTTAAATACTAATAATAATGTTTTGGTTTAGTTTTCAATCTGTAACAATGTAGTAATTTATCATGATTTTCTAAACCTAAAATTTAATTTGACACTACATTTAATATCTTGCTAATGCTCTGTAGAGTATTAGACCTCATGTTCACTTAAAGTTATACTTGTTTTTTGTCTCCTAAGTAATATATGAAACAGTGTCAACTTAACATGCAAACAAATTTAACAGGATTGGCAGCGCTACTACGATGACCCGAACAAAGAGCGGCTTCTAAACGTGATTTCGTTAGAGTTCTCGCACACGAGACTTGAGAACTACGTGCAGGCACCGCGCATCGTGCGACTCATCGACTGGGTCGACACAGTGTGGCCGCGACACTTGAAGGATCAACAGGTGATATTAACAGGCTTATGTAGTTTAATAGTTTAATCTACCCAGCAAGGGAGCTTTGCGATTCGAAGAGCCAGGCGTAGAAAACTGAAAGTCGCGATACTGACGTAGTTTCATATAAATTGATCTCAAAAAGCTTAATTTCTATAAATAGTGCAGGCAGACGTTTCTAATTGGGACGTAAGTTGTATTGCTACCCAGTAACCGCATTTGCGACATTAATATGTCGTCGTAGTGTTTTAACTTCGTTTTCGATCTGAGGATATCTTTATTTATCCATTAATTGATATGTAAAGTTTGAATTTCTTTTTATTAAAATTGGTGTCCATTCAGTGTGTTGAATATAAGAAGTATTAAAATTCTATTGTATAACTTGTTCTAGACGGAGTCAACCAATGCGCTGGACGATATGATGTACCCAAAAGTACAGAAGTATTGTCTAATGTCGGTGAAGGGGTGTTACACAGATTTCCACATAGACTTTGGTGGCACATCTGTCTGGTACCACATTTTAAGAGGTAAATCACATTCTACTTATTTATAAGCGTTATGGTGGGTTAATAACAGTTTATATATGTCGCAGGCGATTCGTATTATTTTTATTCGTTTTTTAAACAAAATATGGTCGCTGTTTTGAAATCTGCCGAAGGCAAATTGACTACTTGTTCTGCTTAAGATAGTCCACATTGCCAATACTCATCACATCGTATATATGTATGTGTATATATATGGATGTGTATGTATGTATATATATATTTATATGTCTAATTAGGATACTTAGTTTGATGTTGATTGTATGTATGAATGTGACTATTTATTCCAAGCCATTTAACACCCCTATGGTCTCTGTATAACTTTTCATACTCAGTGGTTGTCTGGAAGAAATCGCTCTTAGCGATAAGACCGCCAATTATAACGCTTTTGTTAATATTATTGTTTGTGAATGTTACGTAATTATTTATTTGGTGTTATAATAAAGTGTTAATCTATCTATCTATCTATCGTACTTTTAATACCAATAATATTCCGCAGGAATCCTAAGAGCACAGATTCCATGGACACTTTAGAGTTTTTTTGCGTGCAGGATAACATCAAAAACTTTGTCATTTGTCCATGGCTCTTTTACTACTCCTGTTTTTGAATCTTAAAATTGTCTTAATTTACTATAAGAAATTACTTTAAAACAATCCTTTTTTCCTGAAAAGTACTTTGAATAGGTAGAATTTGCAAGGGGGCTGCTTAGTTTTCCTAAAAACTGCGAATGTGACTTAATTACTGGGCTGTCAAAATTCGTGCTTGGGTCTCTGATATATTTAAGCAGTAGCTGACGGAAAGTTATTGGTTATTGTGCAAATATTCTTAGTTATTAAAAATTAAGATTAAACTGTATTATTTTTTTCTTGTTAGGTGCGAAAGTCTTCTGGCTCATCCCGCCCACAGAGAAGAATCTGCAGTTGTACGAAAAGTGGGTTTTATCAGGCAAACAATCCGATGTCTTTTTTGGTGATACTGTAGAAAAATGCGTCAGAGTTCACGTGAGTACTTTTACAATATACTTTGCAATATAGTATATACGATTTTTTACAACATAACTCCTAAACCATTCAGACACAAGACACTACCCAAGTCAATACAAAAAAATGATTATTTCTTTAACCTGATAAGGAACCTAAGGCCCAAGCATTTTGATAGCTCCTTATCGTATTGTCATCTTCAAATTTTGTTTGGAAGAAGCTAGTTTGTTCTTACGTTCTAGTTGCAAGTAGTAGGCGCTGGTTAGTTTTCATAGAGACTGACGATGCGATACGATTACGGAGCTATCAAAATTCGTGCTTGGGTCTTCAGAACCTATCGTATCATGGAGGTTATTTCAAAATATAAAATTGACGATATTCTATATTCGACACAGTATAATAGGAATGTTATGAGTTTCAACATATTGTTTTTATAGCTTCAAGCGGGGCACACTTTCTTCATTCCCACGGGGTGGATCCACGCGGTGTATACTCCTAGTGACTCGCTCGTCTTCGGCGGTAACTTCCTCCATCAGTTCGGCATTGAGAAACAACTCAAGATAGCTCAAGTAGAGGATGTCACCAAGGTAAGAGAAAACTCATCTATGCAAAGTAGAAAATAAATCTGTATGTTTTTAATGTTAAAAATGTGGCAAACAAGCATATCGCCCGCCTCATGGTAAGCAGCCACCATAGCCTATAGACGTATGCGATGCCAAAAATATCACTCGCGCCTATGCATCCCTGACCGAATTCCCAACCCCATGGAACCTTGGACTGGAACTTTACTTACCGACATAAACGCAGCACCACCAAAAACAAAAGGTAGATTTATTTTAATCTGGCCTTCTTTAAGGTGGAGGTTACTTATCCAAACGGGTGCTCATTATATTGCAGTTGTCAAATGGTTTACAAAAATCTATCTGCTTCTGTTATTCTACAGTTAACGCTGTCCTTCGTTAAGTTTATTCTTTTCCTAACTCGGATATATATTGTATAGTTGCATGCTCAATGGACCTTCCATTATAAATGACTTGTATTGACCATCCTTTTTTCATATGATATTTAAGAACGTATTACACTTTATGCATATAAGAGTAAGAAATCTTTTAAGTAAATAAATAATAACAAGAAAGGAATAATCTCGGAAATAATAATAATAATAACGTAAAAAAACTTATGACTTGATTCTCCTGATATTTAAATCGGTTACAAACTTACAAGTTTGCACGGTAATCCTCGGTGCACTCAACCGATTTTTAAGTTTTTATTCAACTTGCAATGTGTGTATGTAAATTGTTCGGGTGGAATCCTGCAACTCAAATTTAAAGCAGATACGTTCATTTGATTGAGGTGAAATGTTGTACACATGTTTAGTTTGGAAGAAAATGCAACGTCAGCTATATGACGTCATTCTAAATCAAATATATCGGAAACCCAAGATGGAGACTAGTTATTTTATTGTGAATAAAATGCTCTTAAACTCTTAATTTTCCATATTCAGGTGCCCCAAAAGTTCCGGTATCCGTTCTTCACTGAAATGCTGTGGTACGTGCTGGATAGATACGTGAGCGCTCTACTAGGCCGCTCCCACCTCGCCGCCGAGGGGCAGTCTACGCCGCCCACGCCGCCCAAGGAACACATCCACCTCACGCAGAACGAACTTCACGGCCTCAAGGTGACTGCCATCGATACAGTAACATGTCGTCTATGGAGACGGCCCAATAGCTCCGGTATCGCTACTGGGCAGCTTCCACCTCGCCGCTGAAGGGCAGTCTACGCCGCCCAAAGAACACACCCACATCACGCAGAACGATCTGCACGGCTTCTAGATGACCGTCATCTACACAGTAACATGACGTCTATGTAGACGGCCCCATAGGTCTGGTATCGCTCCTGGGCCGCTCTCACCTCGTGGGGCAGTACACGCCACTCACGCCACCCAAGGAACACATCCACCTCACGCAGAACGAACTGCGCGGCCTCAAGGTGACCGCCATCGACACAGTAACATGTCGTCTAAGTAGACGGCCCAGTAGCTCCGGTATCGCTACTGGGCAGCTTCCACCTCGCCGCTGAAGGGCAGTCTACGCCGCCCAAAGAACACACCCACATCACGCAGAACGATCTGCACGGCTTCTAGATGACCGCCATCTACACAGTAACATAACGTCTATGTAGACGGCCCCATAGCTCTGGTATGGCTACTGGGCCGCTCTCACCTCGTGGGGCAGTCTACGCCGCTCACGTCGTCCAAAGAACAAAACCATCTTACGCAGAACGAACTGCACAATAAAGGCTTATTACTCCGTATTCGCTGTCGCGCTCGACGTTTAATAATATGACAAATTTCTCTGTGAACCAGTAGATATTGCTAAATGCAATGTAAAACCCGTCTTCATCTCGACTTAAAATTCTCCATCCACTTCGTTCTGCAAATTCGATACTTTATTGGTGGGTCAAGTTAATAACAACAAAAAACGAAAGGATCTTTTATATAGTGTAAAGGGTAATTATTTATTGTTTTTTTATGGTATGTGGGTGGCAAACAAACCTTCGGCCCGCCTGATGCTAAGCGAGCGCATAGCTCAAATATGGTCGCGATCGTTAGTTTACAGTATTACTCTCACTTTGCCTAAGAAAGATATTCTTTATTTACGGAAGTTAACAAAATTATAGACTAATATAATTATATCCTATCGTTATCTTCTGTAGTTACTTATTGAATTATATTTTACTTCTTCCAGGCCATTGTAATGTACCTCCACCAGTTACCTGCAGCGCGTAAATCTGTCCCAGAGCTCCTCTCAGACCCGATAGCTTTAGTGCGCGACGTGAGAACATTGGTGGAACAACATAGGCATGATAAGCAACACTTGGCGATCACTGGAAACCCTGTACTCAAAGGTAATAATTTGTTAAACTATTAACGCCTTTAGTAAATTGACCCGGCGCACCGCGGAAGTGAAACTGCGGTAATCTGTTAGCAGGCTGTTTGACAGTATGAAAAATAATGTACCATTGTTGGCATCTGTATATTATAATATGAATATTAACAGCGATTTAACTATTCTGAAAGAACAAATAATTAATAACTTTTCTAGAAAATCATTAAAATAGAAGTTTTTATTTTGCTCCATGGTCACGAGACCGAAAACGCCTGTGATTGGCCAAGACTGAAATGAAGTCACACACTAGTAAACTTCCGGCTAGGGATGGCGATCTGAGATCGATTATTGGGACCAAAAAGATCGATTTTATAAATCGATATGTAGTGCTGAATCGATTCACTGAATCGATATTTCTCCCTTGAAAATCGACATTCGATTTTATTTTATTTTTTGGTATAAACCAACCAAAGTATTTACAATTAATTGAATGTACCCGTATTATAAGAGTGCTTCCGGTTAAAAAGTTAATTATTCAAAAACTCGCGAGATGGCTGTATGCTTTTATTCCATCCCCCCTCTTTAATAAAAAAAGTTACGTTTGTTTGTAATCTTGGAATAAAAATATTTTTTATCATTGAATTACCTGATTTTACTGATAAGAGATCGTTTTTTGTATAGAAACGCAGCAGGTCACTCACATGAACGACTTCCCGCAACGTCTGCTAACAACAGACGCAGTGTCGGCCGTATCATGTAATAAATAAGTCTTGCTTGTATCTCACACGGCTGAACAGCCGTCACGCAGACGTTGGAAGTTGTCCGTCTGAGTTAGCTCTAAGGCTCGTATTAATAGATCGCTTTCAACTCTGAGAGAGCGATCTATTAATATGGGCCTAAGTCTTGCTTTTTTCCTACAGGCCCAGAGGAATCCAGTACAGAGAGACGGCAGTCCAGCGGTCGCGGGGGCCGTGGCGGCGGTCACCGAGGTGGGCCTGTTAGACCCCGCCCGGATCACGCTAATAATGCCCCCAGAAGGCGCAGGACAAGGTATGTTTACTTATTTTTTTATTAAAAGTGCTAAGTAACTCGTGGTCCTATCCAAAAGGCAGCCTGTACCACAGCGGTGGAGACATTAATGGGCTGATGATGTAAATTTTTGATGTGAAATTTCATTAGCACCGTTGTGATAACTCATCTCACAATCAAAAAAGTTTCACAAAAATGCTTTGTATGACGTCCGCTTAGTATGACGTGTTTGTCGATTCCCTTCGAAGTCATAATAAACGGATTTGAAAATTGATGAAACGAAAAAGCGACAGTATTTGACACAAGATGTCCGTAATGTTGCAACTCTCTGCTAGAGACAGATAGCCAACGGTAACGGTCTTGGGATAGATACCAAATGATCGGTGGTTCGATTCTGAGTTTTATTTTTTGTTTTATTTTTCTTTAATTAAGCTAATATTTATTTTACATTTTAAGTATAGAATAATAAATTTTGCCCAGTATTTTACAATACCTTAAGGTAACGGTTAACTAACTAACTAAAGGTAAAGGTTAACTATTAATAGTTAAGTACTAAACGTTTGCTAGGTGCCTACCTTGCTTACTAATACAGGCTTGGCTTGTATCAACAGTCCCTACCTTTCCCATAGTTGCAATTTTTTTACAGTATTTTTTTATAAATAAATATTTCGAATAAAACCTAAGATAACAAAAACTTAACAAAAGAAATAAAATAAAAATAGGTGGTAACAAAAAAAAAAAAGCCGCGGGCGGCTTAAGGACTTTTACGTGTTCACATTTTTGTAAGTTCACTTCTATCGCATGTGAACAGCATATCTCCGATTTTTTTATTTCTCAGTTCTCCCCTTCATCATTAAACAGAGCAAGGCAGTGTTTTTATATTAAAAGCAGCAAGTGGCACCAACAATGAATTATATGAACAAAAAGAAAACCTTATTTTGGTAATGACAGTATCCAATGAGAATACTTTTTGATAATATACAACCTAGATACAGTATTAATTTCACGTATGGAAGCGGCCCAAAAAATATGTACTATATATGGTAGATATTATGCTTGTCGCTACACACACACATTCACTGCTCCAGTACAATCTCACATCAGAGTCACGTACACATTGCTCGAAACGTGAGCCGTTTTTATTGCGCGATTTATTTGGATAGCTCTATCTAGGCGTAAATGATCAGAGGAGAATACAAATAAAAAGGTTTAGAAAAGCTCTCTCAAAATAAAATATAAATATTGGGTTTTCTCGTTCATAAATTAATCGTCCCTAATGCTTAAAAATAACACTTGTGTTGGTGGTTTACTCGATTTTAGTATTATGACAAAAATTATTTGAGTAATACGAAGATATAAACTTAAAGGATCGTTTTTACAGGTGCAAGAAATGCGAAGCGTGTCAGCGAACAGACTGCGGGGAATGCGTCTTCTGTCACGATATGGTTAAGTTCGGTGGGCTCGGGCGCGCCAAGCAGACATGCGTTATGCGGCAATGTTTGCAGGTATGATTACTAGGAATGCGGTACATTAACTATGATCTATCATACATTGCTTGTTCAGAAAGCTCTCTACTAACGGCCCTTATCGCAATAATTGAAAGTGAAAATTTTTTGAGCTCTGAGCCTTATTTTGAAGCCTTAAGGATGGGTGATCAAAAATGTATTATCTCAAGCTCCTTCGTTCGTTCGTAAAATTTCACACGACGAGCAGAAATGTTTTTGCTTGTCTTGTCATCAATCAAAGCGTATTGTCTGCTTTTTTAGTATTTTTATTTTGTTACATAACTCATTTAAAACGCTTAAGCGTTAAAAAGAATACAAAATATATACATTTTTGACCTATTATGCAACAAATCCTCCTCAAGATAATAAATTTTTGGTTTTTGGTCTGCCATCCAATGAGCGAACACTGCGAAAGCTTAACTCAAAATAAACACAATACACAAAAAATTATCTTGATCTAGTTGAAATGTTTCTTTTGAATTCAACCTAATTATTGTTTTCTTTATCCAACAGCCCATGTTACCGGTTACTGCTTCCTGTGCGGTATGTCATCTCGATGGGTGGATGCAGACACCGGTCGCGCCGCAGGCAAAGGGTAACTCCGGTAACTACTGCCCTCTATACACCACAGGGACATTATACTCACTGAACACTGGCAGAGTAAATGCGAAACGACACAGTTATTGATTATATTAATGGAGCCCTCTTTACACCTCTCATACTCTCACGAAACATTAGCGGGGCAATCGCAAACAATCCTTAGCAAAATAATATTTTAGTAACCAACCACCATCATCCGGCACACAACTAGGCTTTCGTCACTTACGTTACCGCTCAATAGAGGGCTATAGCTGCTTTCGGTATTTGCATCGCAGAGACGACGGATTTTTGGTGACGTAATCACAGATTAATCTGAGCTTTTACCGAACGACCCGATCAACCATAGATAAATTTCTAACCGCAAACAGAAACAAACCTCACAACATGACAGATAAGAAGCGAACGAACAGAGATTAATCTTTCTCGTCGGTCAAAACGCTCCAAACAAATCTGATCAAACAAATCTAACGCAGTTTTGTGTGTGTAGAGGGCTCTTTTGAGACACAAGCTATTATACTGTCACTCACTAAACACTGACGGAGTAATGCAAAATAAACCTTAATGCGATCGCTCAAGAGAGCCTTCTATACACCACACGACCATTATATTCTCTCTTTCTCTCACACCTAAACACTGCTACCCGTGACTGCTTCGTGCGCAGTCTGACACCTCGACGGGTATTTCCGGTAACTACCGTCCTTTAAACACCATAGGGTTACTGTATTTATCAAAGACTGGCTTTTACTCACTGAGCAGTGTTGGAGAAATACGAAATAACACTTGGGTTATCACTCAATAGACCCTCTGACACCCCACGAGCACTAAACATGTGACTTTCGCATTGCCCAAGGCTAGAAGCCTTTGTGAGCCCAAGGCTAGAAGCCAAAGGAGATTTTGTGAGGACGACAAAAAGCGCAGGGCAAGCGTTACTGTTGCTGATCTGCTCACTCTCACTATCACTATCTATTTCATACCAATCTTAATTGATCTTGATTTGATGTTCCACGAAATATCTTGTCAATTTAATGCCGTCGCTTCACATGGCTCGTCGTATCTGCTATTTGTGAACTTGACAATAGTCCATCCTTTTCATTCTCTATTTAGCATGATAAGGACAAGCTGATCTTAAAATTACTAATAGCAAATAGGATTAACCATGTGAAGTGTCGTCATAACAATAACTGTCTAAATTGATTTTATTTTAACTACATAAAATATCATTAATACACAATTATAATTTTACTTAGCAGAATCTACACAAATTTGACATTTGGCCGTGTAATGACTGTTGTCTTCTGCTGGCATTCACTTGGTTATTAGTATTTCGTATTTGTGAACTTGACAGCAGTCTCAACTTTGATTTTTTATATTGTGTGATAAGGAAAACCTGCTATCAAATTTCAAATCTCAGCGGAAATTGGAAGGAGTTATTGAACTATATTAATCCTATTTAATAATAAATAAACAAATATTTCCAACACTCACACCAAGTAGCCCCTAGCCACAAAGTAAGCACTGTAAGGTTTGCGTCATACATATATAAGTATATTTATATAGAAATACATATTGAACATCCTTGACTGGAGTACAAATGCTCGTTTTCATCACACAAACATCTGCCCTCTCGAGTCGGCGATACCATGAAATCCAGCGTACAAACCACTCGGCCACCGAGGTAGTCAAACGAAAAAAAAAAATGTCAAATAGCCAAGTGAAGTGCAGCATAATGTCTAAAATTGGAGCTATCGATTTCGGAAGTGACATTTTACAGAATGAAATTACTACTGTACCCTAAGCACAGACCATTATCGAATTCTAATAGTTGAATTCGATCTCGCATACGGGTCAAATGTCAAAAAGTTCGTGCTACAGATTTATAAGTCCGTTGTGGCGCTGTTGCAAGTTTCCAGACAAAATTTCCATTACGATGGGGATCGCATTTGCAAACGTAACGGACTCGATATTGGTTCATGCTAAGGGTACTGATCTGACTATTATGATGATAATAATAATGATGACAATGTTTATAGGTCGCGTGGGCCCGTCGTCGTTGCGCGAGTGCTCCGTCTGCTACAGCATCGTGCACGGCGCGTGCGTGCAGCCCGGCGGGCAGATCAACGAGGATCTGCCCAACTCGTGGGAGTGCCCCACGTGCACCACCATGGGGCTCAACCACGACTACAAGGTTAATTGATGTTTAAAAACAAGCAATGAGTCCGTTCCCGTTTCGCGGGTTCTCCGTCTGTAGATTAACGAGGACCTGCCCAACTCGTGAGAGTGCCCCACGTGCACCACCATGGGGCTCTACCACGACTACAAGGTTAAATGATCCAAAAGAAATTTAACTAGGAAAAAAGCCGCACGGTCCTGGAAGCAGACGGAACTCGAACCCGCACCCTCCGCTATTCGGGTGGATGCACTCACCAATTATACTACCACGACAGAATCAGGTCGTGTTGTATGTTTGTTACCCATCACTTAAAAACGACTGGACGGGAGATTTTTGATTATACTTAATTTAAATTTAGTCAGTACATAGTTGTCTAATGAAACTCTTTAATTATAAGGTGCTTACAGTAACTATTTTCCTCTAAATGGGAAATAACCATTATATTGTAATTGCAGCCGCGTCACTTCCGGGCCCGCCAAAAATCATCAGATCTCCGCAGGATGAGCGTTGGTTCTGATGTTTCACAACTAAATCAACAACACAGAGATATACAGGTGAATATAGTTTAAAAAATATGTGACTTTGAATGTCTCAGAATCTCTCTGTTCCTAAATATGAAGTAAGATAATGATAGCGACTGTAGAAATAGAAAAACTTACACAATGAAGCGAGCTGTTCTTGATCCGAATAAGAAATATTTATTGAGAATTTGAGATGATTTTTATTTGTTTTGTATGCAGAATAAGTTACCGCCCCCTCCGCCACCAGTTGCGGTGAAGTCGGAGGCGGGCTCTGACAACGAAGGCAAGAGTGAAATACCGCATATCAAGTCTGAGGAGGGTAAGTTTGATACTCTTTGTTCTTACCAGTAAAATATATTTTACCCTGAAGTCAATCGTTAAGAAGCTCATCAGACAATTTTATTCGTAAAAAAAATTTTTGGGGCTACTTATGGTGGTTGTGAAGTTAGCAGCGAGCGCTAATATGCTCAGATTTCAGTGAAGCGACTGGTGAAACCTTTATTTATTGTTGGGATAATGTAGCTCTATTGGGTTTTACCCAATAGAGCTTCCGCCGAAGCGGGTTTCGTGGAATTTTAAGACTCGATGTTACCCACGTCAAGTAGACAGTCCTTTAGAAGCGACAATAAACAATCTCAACTTAGACTATGGAATGGACCTTTCTTCGCCTCAGTCACACTTCTCTGACCAGTTTTTTTTACTTCGTAGTTGATAAAGCCACAAATGGCAACTGTCGGAAGAGATAAAAAACAACTATAAAAAAATAGACTAACTATATGCCTTCCTATCGCTTCGTCTTTGCCATACTTATCTGCGCAGTCTTTCTTCACTATCTATTATCTAATGTAATCTATTCCCAATATCTATGAATCGCACGCTACACCAGATATTTTTATTGTTTTAAACTTCGATAGTCACTAACAATATAGTAATTTTATGTTGTTAACGTGATTACTACCAAGTAACATGTTTTTAATAGTCCCCTACTCCGTAGTAACATAAATCAGGGAGTCTTCTCTCTTTCTCCGAAACGAACTTTCGGTAACGAAGTTCAAATGAAATTTAATATCGTGAACTTAAGGTTATACTTGATTTGAACGATAAACTATCAAATTAAATTTTTCGTTTAAGTAGGCTTAGAGAAGAACACCTCGATCTATTTTCGTACGAACGAATATTAATATAGTTATAAACGCATAAGAAAAATGGTTAGAAACGTGCGAAGTATCGATCGAAATTTCGTTATTCGTTGAATTAGAGTAGGCCTCCAGATATTTTGTTAACACGAAGTGTTGGTTTTTCAGAAATAAAACGCGAGGAGGAAGCGGCCGTAGCAACGGAAGGGGGCGAGGGTTGGGAGCCGACCGCCAAGAAGCGACGCGCTAGCGACGAAGACGACGCGCCCAAAAAGCACGCGTTAAGGGCACACCTCGCCTTACAGTTGACACATCATACTACTAAGGTAAGATGCAATGGCAGAGTATAGCTCAAGACAAAGAAAAGTGGCTATCTTTGGAAGAGGCTTTTACGTGAGAGGGGTTCCTTACGGTTATTCACTAGTAATTAAAAAGACTTTAATTTATTTATTTATTTACTACTAAGGTATGATATCTGAACAAGTTATATTGTGTAATTAGAGGTCAGTCGCGAAGATAGAAGAAAGGTACGCCGCCTCACGAAACAAATTTCTAATTGTCACAAACAAATTGTCGAAACAATTCTCGTACAATCTTTACCAATTACTTAACAAAAACGCTTACGTAGAAGCGTACTTCAAGTATGCCTCTATTATAATACACACACTCAAAGAATTAAACGAATAACCGTCACATAACAAACCTCAACTAAATCAAAATTGCCTAATAATACACTAAACAGCAATGTTGAAACATGGTATAAACTAAAAGCACCGGCTTCCCAGTGAAGAGAATCTAAAAAAGCTCTTCATTAAAAAACTCTTCAGCCGTTTTTCACTCTGTCGACCAGATTCCTTTGATCCATGGATCAGGATACGTTCTAAAAAGCCATGGAACCTTACCCACAGACAGAGAAAAAATATAGATAGATAGCACTAATAGAACAATAGAATAAAACAACACGTGATTTTAAATGACATCAATTTTTTTTTGATTTGATTTCGCTGATTATGAGCGTAAGAGTGCTTGCTATATTTAAAACACTTTGCAGAACATGTTTGAAGTGATTTTAAATTTAATTCACAATATTTTTACATACTAAATTATAATTCTTATAAAAAGAACTAAGTGTGTTAGTTATATTAACTGTGTTCACATAGCTTCTTCAACTTTTTTCGACATTGCATCAAATCCAAACTTAAAGACACATTATGATCAATACTATTTCTTTTATCTCTGCAGCCACTGAAGAAGCCGCTGTACCCGATCCGGCCGGTACCAGGCGCGGGCGTCATCAACAATCCCGCCAACTCGCCGTGGCTGGACCGCGAGGCGATGCTGTGCGTCTTTGCCAAGCTGACGCCGCACGAGCTCGCCGTGTGTGCGCTCGTATGCAAGGCGTGGGCGGAGTACTCGGTGAGCCATCTCCGTATACCTATCTCACACATAGAGGTAAAAGAATAGAGTGGGGAAGGCGGGCTCTATAAGTGTCAGTCTAGTAGATAGAGAGAGAAGATGAGAGACCGCTGGCTATCTCTCTCTCTTTCTTGTGACGCATGGCATCCAGTGGCATCACATCGACAGTAAGATGCTTACGGTTCCCAATGTACATGCGCGATTAGAGAGAGAAAGCTAGCGGTCTCTCATCTTCTTTCTCTTTCTATTAGAGGGACACTTTCACTTGTAGTAGAGTCTATATCTCCCCTACTCTATCCTTATACCTCTATGATCCCACACCAGCGTGCCGTAGTTTCGTCTACCTTTTGCGTTAAAATTAGCGTGCGAATTTTTGGCGATCTAACCGCGCATGTACGCTGTTTTACCTGTAGGACGAAGCTTTGATCTCCAACGGCTTTTGTTAAATAAACGTGACTGATTATTCCAATGCTTCCTATTTTAATTCGTATATTCGTTATTTAGGATCTGAAACAACGGTGACTTACTAAAAAATAGAATGCTATAGAAAACTTACAAATAGCAATAAATGAGTAAAGATAAATGTCTCTTCCACTGTTTTATATACAGAAACTAAAGATACGGATTGATAAGTAGGCTAGGATAGGATAGGATAGGATAAAAACGAGCGAGCCTTACAGTAGTCGCGTATGATGTGTAACATTTGAAACCTCACCTTATAAAAAAGAAATAAAACCTACAAAAGGAATAAGCCATTTGAACATTATGTTCTAAAATCAAATCAAATAGCGCGCGCTTCCCAAACTTCCTGTTACACACTTCCGTCCCACTTCACTAAATCCCTCCCACAAATTGCACGAAAGCGAGAGGAAAGATTTTACACATCAATAAAAAAGTAAAATAAATAATTCATTACAGATGGATCCTTCCCTATGGAGGAGCATGTCGTTCGTCCAAGTGCGAGTATCGGCGGCACAGTTGGCCGGTATCGCGCGGAGACAGCCCCTGTCACTGGGGCTCGAGTGGTGCCATCTAGCGCGACGACAACTGGCATGGTTCGTGACACTACTATCTGTACATGTCATATCTTACACTGACACACATTGGTGTCGATTCTGGCATGATTCTCTAGACCTAAACTTAAATTGACAATGGTTTATCCTTGTCAGTATCTATACAGAATGAAAAGGAGAGACTGATGTTAAATTTACTTTAAGTTTAGAGAATCATGCCAGAATTGACACCCTTGTATTCCGTAAAGGTGGTAATATTATCAAGTAATGTTTTATTATTTAAAAAAATGCTATTTGATTGCAATGCTCAAAACCCACTTACAAGTCGAAGATTCATAGTAAAATTAGTGTCTATTATCTTAAGGGCTGATTTAGACCAGAAAACGGGTGCATTGACAGCGACGCGGGCGGCACTTTCTCACTGAAAGAAGTGTGAAATAATTTAAAATTGTATCTAACTACTTAAAATATCAGTTTCGGTTGAAAAGGTTTTGCGGTGTTGCGTGACTTCTTCGAGCTTTTCTTTTTAGTATGTAGACTAAGTTCAAAATTATTTCACACTGCCTTCAGAGTGAAAGTTGATATTCGTCCTTTTCCGTTCATAGGGAAGGCCCGTACTCCAGGGGCCCAAGCACGAACTTTGACAGCTCCATAATCGTATCGTCATCTTGTAATTTTGTAAGGATGAAGACAGATTGTTCTTACGTCCGGTAGGGGCGCTGCTTAGTTGTTATAGAAACTTTGACTCTGGGATACAAATACGGAGCTGTCAAAGTTCGTGCTTGAGCCTCTGTAGTGAGGACTTAATAGGCTGATGATCATTATGACATAGTCGACAACTTATTTTAAAGCTCTCTTATGCTTCCAGGTTACTAGCGCGGTTACCAGCCCTTCGTTCGCTATCACTAGCCGGATCTCCAGCAGAAGCAGCTTTAGCACTACGTTCGTCTACCTGTCCCCCTCTCACCTCGCTCGACTTATCGTTCGCAAGATGCTTAGACGACGCCAAGCTTAGAGGGATCCTCGCGCCCCCAGAAAACTCGAGGCCTGGCGGTGGGGCGAGAACAGGCGCGGAACCTTCTAGACTGGCCGCGTTGAGTGTGTTGCGGTTACCCGGCACTGATATCACGGACGTCGCCATGAGATACGTTGTACAGGTAATATTGGTTTGTTAGCTCCCTGTTTATAAAGAACTCGAGGCCTGGCGGTGAAGTAAGAACAGGCGCGGAACCTTCTAAACGCCGCGTTGAGTGTGTTGAGGTTACCCGGCACTGATATCACGGACGTCGTCATGAGATACGTTGTACAGGTAATGTTACCTCGTCAGATATAAAATTAGTCAGTCTCTGAAACGACGCCAAGCTTTGAGGGATTCTCCTTGCCCTAAAGAACTCAAGGCCTGGTATTGGATTGAGAACAGGCGCGGAACCTTCTAGACTGGCCGCGTTGAGTGTGTTGCGATTACCCGGCACTGATATCACGGACGTCGCCATGTTATACGTTGTACAGGTAATGTTACCTCGTCAGATATATCATTAGTCAGTCTCTGAGAGCTTCGTGGGTTCTCGTCTCCCTAAAGAACTCTAGGCCTGGTGGTGATATCACGGACGTCGCCATGAGATACGTAGTACAGGTAATGTTAACCGGTATTCGTATTCAAAAACCAGCCACTATTACCGACTTATAAAACACAAAAACCTATCACTGATTTATAGCAGGCTAATGCCCGAAGGACACTTCATCTTACGCGAGGATCAGAGACGCTGGTGCGGCTTAGTTGTATCGCCATGGGCTGCAGAGGCTATCGCTGCCTACTAATGCAAATGTTTTACTTTGAATGAACATTCTTATTCAAAGAGATAATACGTACGGATTTTTTTTATCGAATATGAATAGAATGATATTAGTCTGTGCGCAAAGAGAATGGGATTTAGATTGGAGGGCGCTGTAGTGCTTTTCTACCGTATTTGTAAGGTTTTACCCCTTTTAAACATGATTAAATACAAAAAACCGTAAGAAATCACAACAACAAACAAATCCGTATTAATAAAAACTTTGACGTTTTACAGATTGCTGGGTTTGATTGCCAAATAAAAATCTTAATGTTAGTTCCGTTTTTCGCCACGCCTATTCTCTTTCCGCTCAGATTCTACCCTTCACTTTTTCTCTACGTCGAAATTTTGCAAAAACGAATGATTTTATCGCAGGCATTACCGAAGTTGTGCGAATTGGACGCGTCATCGTGCGCGAGGCTCACAGACGCTGGCGCGGCTCAGTTGGCTCACCACGGGCTGCAGAGGCTATCGTTAGCGGGCTGCCGGCTACTAACTGAGGCTGCGTTAGATCATTTAGCGCGGTGCCCTAACCTTATCAGGTAACTTCATCGTTAACTTAATGTTCCTACTGCTTAGGCACAGACTGGAAAGTCTGTACAAAGGGAACTTTGTATAAAAATTGTGAATGGACCATAAAATAGAGTGAGAATGGACTGAGCGACACTCGCATAAACTTGACAGCTTTCCAGAAAGAAAGAAAATATTTAATTTAAAAATATTTTATACGAATTTTTGTACATATTATCTCTTCGGCTATCTTTTACTTTACAGTTGAAGAGAGAACGCTCAGTTTATTCTTTATGATTATGACCTAGCACGAACTGATTGTGGGTGCGACCGACTGCAAGAGCAGCCGAGGCCAACAGCTTAATGTGCTTTCTGAAGTACGGATGAGATTTCAGATTATGATTTTTTTGTCATTGTGATAGCTGCCTAACTTCTACGATCGCAGATCAAATACGATAACTACTGCGTCATTGATCATTATCTCACAACTATTAAGACTCTTATAGGCAAACCGCGTAACTGAGACATCGTCTGCGGGGTACAGGGTTTGGGGGAGGATGAGAACGTGGGCCGTGAGAGGTGACAAGAATGTGCCTGTCGCCCGCACCTCTCACGCTCCCCGTTTTCGTCCTCCTCCACACCCTTTACCCTGCAGGCGAGGACTCAGTTAAGCGGTCTACCTATTGTAGTCTAGATTTAGGGTCTATCTTGATTACTGTATCATCATCATCAGCCTATTAATGTCCCCACTGCTGGGGCACAGGCCTTCCCTATGGATTGAATAGGGAGATCTTGCCATGGACAACCACGCGGGCGCAGTGCGGATTGGTGGGTGCTAACGACTGCAGATGCAGCCGGGACCAACGGCTTAACGTTCCTTCCGAAGCACGGAGGAGCTCGAGATAGTAAATATTTTTTTTTGGTCACCCATCCAATGACCGACCACTGAGAAAGTTGCTTAACTTCAACGATCGCAGTCGAGCGCGCTAATCACATGCGCCATCTAACTGATTATTCTAGAATAAATTTTATAATAAGTTGTCCCTGGTCACTACTTTTGATTCTGTATTCTTTTGCAATGTAACTCATTAGAAAAAAATAAGTACCATTTATAAATTTCACCGAGACAACTAAAAATAACATATGTTTGATCATCTCATTCTCCAGGCTGGATCTCCGACACGTGCCACTTGTCTCCACGCAAGCCGTAATCAAGTTCGCCGCCAAGTCGAAACACAACTTGCACGTGCAAGACGTCAAACTAGTCGAGCTGAGAAAGACTTGATCCGTCGACTCGGCTCCTCACACCGCTCCCTCCACTTGAGGAGCGCGAACTAGCCCGGATTATGGGGTCAGTTGTTTTAAATTCAGTTCAAACTGTCAGGAGTTCAAATAGTCGAGTAGCACTTGCATTCACTACAGTGAAAAGTAAATCGTTATAAAAAAAAAACATTTAAAACTGCTTAAATTATAAACATCATATAGCAACTTTCTTTATTTGATTGCTTTTATATGAGGTATGTCTAAAATGCCATCTATGTAAATAGGTGGTGTTGACTTTTGTTTGAATATATAAATAATTGTTGTATCCATTTATAAAGAAAATATAAAGTTCGAATATACAAATTGTTGTATACACATTAAGAATTTTATAAAGTTCCATAACTTTAACTTTAGCTGATTTTTATATAAAGAATAAGCGTTTCTTATTGCGACACCCATTACCGTAAACATCGGGTCATCAGAATGAGGGCTCCTTGTACCCGAGAGTTGTGACTTTATTTTAAACAATTGACTCCAAATATTTTTGCGGATCAGGCAAACATGATATGAATGCCCTAATTTCCTCACGTGGTTGAGTGTAGTATGTATTTTGTATGAGCTATCCTAATAAAGTACGCTCTTGAAAGTATTATAAGGTTTACTACACTAGATCATAGAAGGGGATTTTATGGAACTGACGTGTTCAATGTTCGCCCTTTTTCCGTTTTGGTCGGGTGATCAGATGGCGTGGTAATTTAGGCCTTATTGTTATTATATTAGAAGCGTGATTTTGATAACAATAACACTAGCATTTTTAAGAAGCTAGAAAATATTACAGCTCTAGAGTTATATAGCTTTCATACATTTGAAATGATCCAATAATTTGTTCACATTTTGTAATTGGAACTATTGTTAAAGCATTTCGTACCAGTGTGTACTTGGTAGATTACATTAAGTGACAAAAATACAACATATCAAGAAAGCCTACATTCCTACGTCATCGCTTAACTGTATTGTAGATATTGAAGCAAAGACTTGAGTTAGTTTATCCTATTAAATTAATTGTTGGAGTGATACGAAATTGTAGCTATACCAGTTCATATCTGAACTGAATACTTGGTTAGTCAAAAATATATCATTGCCGTTATGAAACCAAATGATTAAATATTTTGGCGAATGATTTATTGCAACCTTTTTGTATTTTGTTCTTCATCCCGTCAGATATGACATTTGTTTTAGAGTTGAATAATATTTTAACAATTAAAAGGGATACTGTCGTATTTGTCTTGCAATATAAAAATCTGTGCCAATGTGGTTTCTAATATAGCACGTTTTATACTACACAATCAATGGATGATTATATAGAAAAAGTTATGTATATTAATTTTATTGCATGCTGTTGCATTGGTATTATATTTTATTGTTAGTTTTATACATTTGGTTCTGGCCGTGGGAGGCTTACACAAATATAATATTGACTGAAAATTCTAATATTTGTATCAGTTTACTGTTTTTATTTATATACCGTTGGCTTATATTTTATGTTTCGAATTTATTAACTTTATTAATTATTATGTTATTCATAATATATTCATGCAAGTGGTAACGTAAAAATGCATAATTATGTAATTTTTAGAAAATGTTATAAGTAACATTCATTAATTAAACTTATGTTTGACGATTTATTTAAAGCACACCTATATGTATTTGCTTAGGGGATAAATTTCTGCTGCAAGTACAACTCTGCCTTCATTAATTTAGTGACAACACGCAAAGCCTTACTCACATAAAAAATATGGTTACGAAATAAATTTATAATATGTTCAATATTTTTTTATGGGGTATTTACCCCACTTTTGATTGATAAAACTTGTGAAATTCAGTATTAAACTATATTATTGATAATATGAATTTAGACTTAATTTTGATAAGTTTACATATTATAAATAATACTTTTGTAGTTGGTATTACCACGAGCTTCTAATATCTCTTTATATTTTTCAACACATCAAATATCAGCCAACGTGTACCATAATATTTTATTCAGAAACTTATAATTTCACATTGTAAATAATTCGATATATTTATTGCATCTATCCGTTAAAGTTGATTTTAGTTCATGACAATTCAAAATTGACTAGGTTGTATTTTTTTAGTTCTAGTCGCTTTTTTTTTTAGTTTTAAGCCAATGTTGTTTAGTATTACTTATATGACTGTGACAGTGTTGGGTTGGTGTAAATAGTATCGTGATAAAGTTTGGTCAATCTGACGTACCCATATACAATGGTATAGGTATAATATCTTCTGTTATAACAACGATTTTATATAACAATGGAATACGTCGCGGCATCTATTATGGCTTATTTATGTTTTGTGATATACAGCGTGAAGCCAAAAGATTTTTAGTCCTAATTTTTTTACTGTGCTAACTAGCAATTTTCTTATTGTTTGCTAATAAATTGCCGTCTCGCAATATAAAGTTACTTGTAAGAATAATTTCTTGCGTACCTTATTGTATTTTCGTGAATTATTATTATTACATTTTATTTTCATTAGTAGAGACGCAAACAATAAGCAAAAAGACATTAATTAATTGTTTATGATTCATTTGTATTTATATGAATATATACACAAATTATAACAATACATTACCACGTGCCTAGCAAGTTTTAATATAATACAGCTTTTGAGTAAGCAATAAATTATATTATATATCAAGGTATCGAAATAATTTAAAAAGCTTAAGGGATAATGTTTGTATTATTCTGTTGTAAATTATGGCCTCAGTCTTTACAGCAAATTCTTTGCCACACATGTCTTGTCTATTTGTTATCCATCTTCTTACTGAAAAATTGATATAATTCAAAGGAATTTTATGCCGTTGCTTTCCTCACCAAACACAAAATGGTACAAAGCACAAATCTGTTCTTACCTGAACTCCTGTTACTCTTGTATATAATTAGGAAGAACACACCATGTTAGTTTATAAGAGAGAACCGACTCTGGTCACAGTAAGCAAGGTCGGGGGGCCGCCTATAGTATTAGTTTTGGATGATTGAGACTGGGACTTTGCGCGTGCGCATCCTACTGATTGTGCTAATTTAAGTACCTAATGTTCGGACGAACATTTACTTATCACCAGGATTTCCAAGATAATGCATGTACCCGGGCAGAGTTCCATCGCGGACTGTACATTACTACTGTAAGTCGTTAACGAGTAACATTTTTACTTGGAACAATACGCTCTACAGACAGTGAGCTAGCGTCTAAGAATCGTGTGCCTCAGTGTATAGACTTAGTGATAGGGAAAATGTAAAATTTATAAACTGAATACAATCATTACTCACTTAGGGAAATTGATTATCAAAATTAGCGAAATGGGTGATTAATGATTCTATTGAAATTTAATGATAACATAACAATAGATATTATAGTTTTCTAAGGTGTCCTTATGCGAGAGTTTTACCTGTTTGAAGGATATAAAAAGATTTTTTGTAATATCTCGCATATAGGCGCCGTCGTCGTCGTTGGCAGAGACGGTGATATTAAAGCCAATGGCTAGGTTTACAAAGTAGCGATATTATTGTGAATTTGATGCGTTTACACGACGTAAGATTGTATCATTGGTTACCATAAGCTCTTATAGTATTTGAAATAAATATTTACATTGATGAAATGTTTTACTACCAACAAATCCTTGTAGGTTAGTATTTTTCAAGATTACAAAGCAAAGCATACCTAGTTATTTATTACCGACCACAGAACACAGAAAGAGGTTAGAAGGGCGACCATATACCGTTTGTACGGAAACCGATGTCGCCGGTGCGCCCCCACTACACTTCCACTCAATAGATAATATCGAAGCCAGTCAAACGACGCGACATCAAAAAATCAAACTAATCAACGCTCACACCCGAGAGCAATGACGCAATAAGAACAAAGTTTTGGTCAAGTTATGAGCATTAGCTCACATCTAACTGACGCGCCAGCGCCGCCCACAAGGTCCTTCTAACCACTTTCTGTGTTAATGAAAGATTTTGTCTTGCCAAATAAATTTTAAAAGTTCTGAAACTGGTCTTCAGCGCCCCTAAGGGTCTACTTTTGAATTATTACAATCGATGGATCCACTCGAAAGCATAATAATTGCTTGAAATCGGTACAGCCGTTTCGGAGATCTGATTAAATCCTAGAGCCTAACTACGGCGCCATCTACCGGGTCTAGTTGTAAATCAAAACTATCTGGGAACCTCTCAAGAGCATGAATAAAACAGCGTTTCTTAGATTTGGTGAGACTTAGAGACAGCTGTTCTATTTTTATAGAATGATATCAATACCGCAAGTCAATAAAAACATTGTTATTAAAAAAAATGCAGTCATTTTATTCACACCACGTGCGTGCTTTGAAAGTTCTGGGTAGTTCCGCCAGATGTCGGATGGTGGTATGTTTCAAGTTATGCATTTTGTTTCATTTGGATTCCTCCATTGTATTTATGTAATATCATGGACAACATCCGATCATGTTTGGATTGAATATTTTTTTTACGCCAATGGATTCGTATTCATAGACGTCAATTTATCATGAAGTTGGATTTATGTTAATACTGTCACGTTGTTTGCGATATCAGTAAAATAAAACACCACCAATTTCAGTTTGGTCGTTGTTACAGCTATAACAGTTAGAGTTTTTCGACGGTTCATCATCATCAGTCTATTAATGTCCCCCTACTGGTACACTGAATGGAATGATAGGATACGATGTCCGAAAAATTAAGGTAGCAGGAATTTCTATAGATCATTTATACCTAGATGATGAATCGGGGTGGTGTTTACGTAAGTACGGCATTGCAGATGCTTTATGGCGTATGAAGAATCTTCTGCGGGAAAGATCTTCAAGAAACGCACGCACAATCATAGTTCTTTTGTTTATGGGCGGGATCCATGAATTTTCGGCAAATACCTAATAAGAAAAGTATATAGATGTGCGAAAGATGGGATTAATGGTTTACTCTGCTCTGTACTTTGCAGTCTACTGCATGCAGGCCCTGGGGCAACGAAGGTGTGGGAATCCCGATTTTCAAATATGGAACCCGGACCACTTACGATTTGCAACCCTCCTGTGTGCCACAGCCTGCCAGCCCTGCCTTAAATCCGGCCCCGCCTTCATGCATGCAGGTGAACGGCTGTTTGTCGCAATGGTGTGACGTTCATTATGTTGGTGCAGCGGGGACGTCTGCTCGTGAGCCCCCATGTTATAAAGAGGTGATGAATTGAATTTGAACGTGAATTCTGAATTCCAGATACGATGGTTTTAGGACATTTTAAATATTTTTACTTTAAAAGTTGAGTTTTATTTCTTTAGCGCCGGAGCTGGGACCATTTTGGCGGATCTCCTTGCCTGAAAAAAAAGACTTTGCTAGCAAATGATTTGAGATTTTAGCGTTAATTCTACCACACGTAAAGTCTGGTCTAAAGTTCTTGATTTGTCCGATTGCACGAGTGGTACCACTACATATCACATTCCTAAGGTAAAAGAAAACTATGATGTTTATTTTTAAGTTGTGGAGAAGCGGTGCTCCCCATCTCCCCAGGCATTTTAATGCTCAAAAGGTGGCTCCAGCTAACTACTAACTTTTAAAATGAATTGCTACCTATTGATCTTTTCATTTATGTGAGATGTATTTAGTCTAGTTTAGTATTTTCATGTCTGTGGGGGTTTATGGCACTGAATGCTGAAATACAGGCATTGCCTAGTTCAGCAGCAGAGGCTAATAAATTATACTTTCCGTTTAACTAGTGCTAAGTTTGTTACGTAATCTTACTGTAGGTACTGAATTTTTTGGTCAATAAATGTTATTATTATTATTATCAACTTGTTAAGTTGAATTTGTAAAAGAAAATAAAGATTTTTGATTTATAGTGTTAGTAAATACTCTGAGACTTACAGTATGCACTAAAATTGCTGAAGAAACTTTATTGAAAATAAATAGTACTTATGTTTTCAGTATATTGTAACGAACATTGTGACTTTACAGAAGTATTAAAATTTTATCCCTGGATGTGTATCTACATAAAGTCCACCTTCCCGGTGTTAATAAAATTTTGGAGTTAGTAGGCGGGCAACAATGCTTGCAGTCATCTGCAATATATATGACACAGCTTCGAGAAAAAAACACAAAAAGTGCTATTTGACAAATCCCTCGAGTCGATGCGGATCCTTTCAACGCCTGCCCCTTTCCTTCTCGATTCATTTCTATATTTGCCATCTCCCTCTTCCTCTGGTATTAAGGTACTCTTTCCGTCGTTATCTCGTCGTCGCTCCGCCCGCGTCTGGTGCGTTTATTTTTCATTTCTTGAGGGTGAAGAAAATAATTTTCTCTGAGCTTTGAACCGGCGGCTAGGGAAAAATGGGAAATTTGGAAAATGTAATTGGATTCTCGACTAATCTCGACGCCTCTCGCGTCTGAAGGGAGTGCGTCTTGAATAATAGAAGTAGGTTATGTGAAAACGATTGTGAAATGAGATTTTTTTTATAAAATTAATTGGTATTTCTAACATCTTAGTATGCGTACATGTAAAAAAATTCATTGTTGTATGTATATATATCTACTTAGAACATAAAGAACAGTGTCGCTAACGAAAAATTTCAGCCAGCCGTGTAAAGTCAACAAAAAAGCCGTGTCATAAAGAAGATAAATCTGAGGTCATTCAAAAGAGTTTTTTTTAATAAGTTCAATTGACTAAAGTTCATTTTCATTGAGTATTTGCTAGCTCCCAATTAATTTTGTTCAGTACCCAAAGTGATCGATGACGATCTTGTAGAGGTGCAGTAAAAATGTGTTGAAAAGGCGAGTGCGATAAAATCATTATGTGACAAAATCATTATTTGCTAACGGCCGTAGAATATGCTACGGCTGGCCATGTGAAAACGGACGTAAGCCGTAGGGGGTCTAGTTTTTCAATCAAAAAGCCGTAGAACACGGTTATTGCGGTAATAATGACAACACTGATTAAGAATGGAATGTAATCAGATTTTAGATTTTAAAAGTAACCGATATGTTGAATAGTAAACATATAGTACAGTGTATTAACGATTATGGCATCCGAGTAGTTTTCGAATAGGAATCGGAGTTGAAGGGGTATAACTATTATAGGCGGAGAAGTTAGTGACTGCCGTATTTCTTTATCTTTTTCCATTTACACTCACTACAGTAGATTCGTGCGAATCACCACAAAAAGCAAATATAGGTGGTATAGCAAATTATCAGGCGTTAACTATAGTGAGTAGAGTGTGCGTGCGGGATACCCGCGTCGCGTGCCCGTCACTCACGCCACAGAATACCATAATAGTACTCGCGCGCGCTCGCCTCCGACATACGCTCGCACGCAAACTCACAACTAGCTTTTCACAGTATTTTATTTCCTACAACGTCCGCCCGCGATCCAGTCCGCATAAACTTTAGCTTTTTCATAATCTTTCAGGATCCTAAAACTTTTCCGGGATACTATGTCTGTTTCTATGTTATGAGCACACACAGTGTGTAAAATTTCACCGAAATCCGTTCAGTCGTTGCAGCGTGATTGGATAACAAACATACCTACAAACTGTCACATTTATAAATTACTAGCGGCAAACCGCGACTTCATCCGCGTAAACTTACGGTTTTTTCAGCATCCCACAGGAACCTGTATTTTTCCGGAATAAAAAGTATCCTTTGTCTCAATCCAGGTCATAAACTAAATGCGTACAAAATTTCGTTCAACCCATTCAGTAGGTTTTGCGTGATTGAGTAACAAACATACAAACTTTCAGATTTATAATATTAGTAGGACTAGCGACCGCCCGCGACTTCGTCCGCGCTAACTTCGGTATTTTGAGAATCCCACAGGAACTTAACATTTCCGGGATAAAAAGTATTATATGTCTCAATCCAGGCTATAAACTATATGCGTACTAAATTTTATCAAAAAACCGTTCAGTAGTCATTGAGTGATTGTGTAACAATTATACAGTAGGATGGGACAGGATTTTGGTATCTTTATTTGTTTCCCGAGACCATTTTAAACCCGACTAACACTGACCTGTTGCATCTATGAGAATTGCTGGTCCGGCATGCCAAGGAAATAGCAAGTTGCACATTTTTGCGTCAGCGTTGGTATCAAATGCTCGAGAAGCTTGATGGCACAAGTGGTTGCACAATAGGTCTGCGATCGTGGAAATTAAGCCGCTTTTGCAATGGCCGGTCATTGGATTGGTGACCTCAATTGTATCATCTCAAGCTCCTTTGTACTTCGGAAGGCATGTTAAGCCGTTGGTCCCGGCTGCATCAGTTGTTAGCACTAACCAATGCGCACTGGGGTCGTTTGACATGTTATGGCCCAATCTCCCTATTCCATCCATAAGAAAGGCCTGTTTCCCTGTATTAGGAAAATTAATGGTGATTTTGGTATCAAGCAGCGTCTCAAGACAGAGATCACTTTAATCTGCAGAGACGTTGCGTCTTTGTGCGAGCGAGAGACAATTATTCAGTTTGGAGCCAGCGGTCAAATTCCTTCACCGCACCACACGCCTGGTTTTGAGAGAGAAGTTTTACTGCCATCATCTGGACGCTTGGCGTTCTAGCATCATGCGTTAAGTTTGTTACTTTTTCTTGAGTACCAGAAAGATCTGGAA